TTTAATATTTATATCTCCTGGGTTGAGACTATTTGAAAATCAAATATTCATCTATAATACCAGCTCACCCATCTACTTAGCATTTTAGGCATTGTGAGTCACATGGTTTCTGTGCAATTTCTAACCCTGAGCCACAGACAATGTGTGAACATAGCTGTGTTCCAATAAAACTTTATCAACAGTCCATGGCTCTAGTTTGTTAATCCCTGCTCTACACATTCCTTCTTCCTCAATATAAGCCCAGGCAACAGAGCCAGATCCTGTTTAAAAATTTTTAAAAAAGGAAGAGAAAACATACTACTTAAAAAGAAAAAAAACTATTAACAATTAAGAAAGAAATGCATGTTTATTGCATATTATGTTGATCCATAAAGAAATGCACTCCAATTACCAAGAAACTTCATATGAAGGTCAGCACCTGTGGCTCAAAGGAGTAGGGCACTAGAGGTGCCCAGAAGTGGTGGGTTCAAACCCAGCCCCAGCCAAAAACTGCAACCAAAAAAAAAAAAAAAAACAATTATACAGCATCCTAGGAATTTACCAAAAATTCTTTTTGGGAACAAACATTCATTAAAATGTTCAAAGGATCACATTTATTCACTTTAAAAGAAAGCTTAATGAATATCTTTATCTAAATCAACAAAGAACTAGGAAACAAATTCGTTCTAAGAAATCTGGGCCACTCTTTTCAGCTTAAAAAAATGAGTAATTGAACATCCGATGGGTTCGTGGCACCGTGCTAGATTCAGCTTGGAACTTGATGATGAATAAGCTACTTGATGCCTTTAAGAAATTAGTAAGGGGGGGTGGCGCCTGCGGCTTAAAGGAATGGAGCGCTAGCCCCATATGCCAGAGGTGGCGGGTTCGAACCCAGCCCCGACCAAAAACTGCCAAAAAAATGAAATTAGTAAGGGGCAGCGCCTGTGGCTCAGTGGGTAGGGTGCCAGCCCCATATACCAAGCGTGGTGGGTTCGAACCTGGCCCCAGGCAAACTGCAACATAAAATAGCCAGGCGTTGTGGCAGACGCCTGTAGTCCTAGCTGCTCGGGAGGCTGAGACAAGAGAATTGCCTAAGCCCAGGAGTTGGAGGTTGCTGTGAGCTGTGACACCATAGCACTCTACCAAGGGTAACAAAGTGAGACTCTGTTTCAAAAAAAAAAAAAAGACATTTGTAAGGTGTAAGACTAGTACACAGAGCAGGATAAAAAGTCCAGAAAGCCGGTATAAGACAGCACTATACCAACTCATAAGTTAGATAACGTAGTTTATGTATTTGTCATCAGTGTATGTGTCACCATAGAGTATAGAACATAACCTTATTATTTTTCTTTTTTTCTTTTTTTGTTTTTTGAGACGGAGCCGCAAGCTTTCCCCCTGGGTAGAGTGCCATGACATCACAGCTCACAGCAACCTCCAACTCCTGGGCTCAAGTGAGTCTCCTGCCTCAGCCTCCCAAGTAGCTGGGACTACAGGCGCCGGCCACAACGCCTGGCCATTTTTTGGTTGCAGCCATCGTTGTTTGGTGGGCCCGGGCTGGGGATTCGAACCCGCCACCTTAGGTGTATGTGGCTGGCGCCTTAGCCGCTTGAGCCACAGGCGCCGAGCCACCTTATTATTTTTCTAAATCAAATTATGACTCTGAGCTTCTCATTTGCTAAGGAAATAAAAAAATTCTGTTTTGTTTTGTTGAAGTAGGGGGTCCTACTTCAGCCTCAGATTCCAGAGTCAACTGGAATCTTTCCTGGGGCCTAGAAAGTGCAGAAAAAGAAAGGCCTTTGGTCTGCAGTCTCTCCGCTGGTGCCTGGAGAGTGGCTGTGGTCCAGCCTAGCATGGTCTACTCAAGGCACGTGACTCTGAAACTTCCCGGCAAGTGTGGACCTGGGGTCTTTCAGCTTTCAATAGCTTGGTTATTATATTAGTCAGGATTCTCCAGCGAAACAGAACCAATAGGAGATCTATATACAGTAGAACCTCTGTAAGTTAACCATCCAAGGGATGGTAACAGTCTGGACAACCTACAGGAGTGGTCAGCATCGGGCCTACTGTACTGATACATACATGTGTATGTCTGGTCTATGAAAATTAGGTCAATTGAAGGAGGTGGTAAAGGTAGGGAGTGGGTCAGCTATGGAGGTCAGACTATAGATTGATTGATTAGATAGGTAAATATCTAGGAAGAGATTCCTTATAAGGTATTGGTCCTGGAATTACGAAGGCTGAGAATTCCGCAATTTGCTGTCTACAGTATGGATACCTAGGAAGCCAGCTGTTCAGTGGAAGTCCTGAGAACCAGAGAGCAATGGCTCACATCATAGTCTGGGTCTGAAGGCCTGCAAACCAGAGGAGCTGAGGGCCCTCAGCTAATAGGACAATGTCCATCCACATTGGGGAAGGCCCTCTGCATTAGTCAGCCCACCGATTCCAACTGCTAATCTCTCCTGGAAACACCCTCACACACACACATACCCGGACATGATGTTTAACCAGCTACTGGGCATCCCAAGGTTGACACATAAATAAATAAATATATGTATTTATTTACAGCTGAGAAACAGCTATAGCTATTCCCATGTTACTTTTAAACATGTCCATTGTGAGAGCATTGGATGGTTTGCCTGCTCTGCACCATCAGCCTTAGCCTGGGGGAACCGGGGCCTTTGTACTTCCCATAGCTTCCCTCTCAGCCTCCTCCAGCCAGGTCTCCCAACACAGGGCAAGGACTCCATGGAGCCAAAGGGGTGGGCCTGCTGGGAATCCTCAGCAAACTCCTCTTCCTTAAAGACTGCCCTACAGCCTGCAGTTAGGACTTCTTCTTTGGGTTCAAGCCCCCAAGGATGTACCATGTGGCCAGTGTGTGGCCCAGAGGCACCTGGTTGCCAAAGAGTTGGGATGTGGAGGATGTGACTGGAGCTTGGGCATGAGCAGGGGCACCTGAGACCCCTCATGGTGTGGCTCAGGAAGGAGCTGGTGTGGTCAGAGCAGGGAGCCTGGAGACTGGCAGTGAGCCACAGTACTCTGGCAAGAGTCTCTGAAGAATCTGATAACTCTACATGCAAACCTGGCTTTCCAGGACACTGTGAAGGTATTCTGAAGAATGGAGGACGTTAGTATTTTATGAACCATCTGTCAGCTCGCTTAATCACTTCTAAGAATTTGTCCACATGGACAGCCAACCCCCAGCGGCCTGTGTTCCCTTCCCTGCAGCTCCTCTTTCCCCTCCTGTATTCCCGCCTTCCCCCTTCTCCTTCTCCCCACTCACCAAGCTTGAGGCCTGACCCTCCATCTTCGCCTTTACATAAGTTCCCCTGAACGCAATTCCAGACATACACGTCTG